GAAAGTTCCGTAATTTTTCCTAGATATTTCTCTCCGTGTAGTAATTCATTTAATTAATCATATTTATTAATAAAAAAAGAGACGGCTGATTGAAAACTTGGAATATTTATTGTCCGGATGTACGTCGGAGCAGAGATTGAGAGAAAGTGTCGACGTTGAAATTGACGTTGAAATTTAAGATGGGAAACGGTTGAATCGGAGGGGAATATTTTGCATAGACCATTTGCCGGTGGTGAATCAACATGAAAAGCCTTTTCTCTACTGGAGTCGTCATCGACGCCGGATGGTAGAATTAACCAAATTCATTTGCATATTGCATAATCTTTCTCGAAAGCCCCAGCCCCTTCGGGTCAAACGTTACAGAACATCGAAAACCACTGGCCAACGTGTAATCCATGGATTGAGGTGTACAAGTCTGAGGTCCTCGGTAAATATAGCCGGAGGGAGCAATTAACCATTGATCAATGGAACCATGTGGTCGACGTAGAAATCTCATCAAAAGTAAATCCCTGCATTAACAAATAATCCCTAAATCATTCCATTTGTTTTCAATAACTCTGACTAAACGGAAATATCAATTAAAATAATTACATAAAAATTAATTAATAATTAATGCCATTGGTAAAATATTGAAATATTGAATTGAATAAATTTTTTTAAAACAACTAATTATTTTTAAACTCCTCAATAGTCACAAATAATTAATGCAATGGAAAGGAATAATTAATTTTTCTGTTTTGATTTCAAGTAATTAAAATATTTGTTAATAATCTCGATTATTGAATTTTTTAGATAAGAATATGGAGAGGGAGCTCCACAGATTTTTTTTATTTTGATATTTTTATATTTCTGTTCCTCTCGGGAATATTGTTTGTTGATATTTGCCGAGACTGAAAAAATGAATAGAAAATTCAGGTTGGATACAGCAGGTTCTACCCACATCCTTGGAAAACACGTCGGCACGATGCGTATCACTGTTTACATAGCTCTCAACAAAGTATATAAGACGTATGTACCGAGATGGGTAGGTGAGCACGTGGCAAAGTGAATATTATACAAGTGCATCGTAAATCTCGGTAATGCACTTGCACTTTTGCACTTTTCCATGAAAAGCCGAATTTAATTATCACGAGATACAACCCAAGACCCCAGACGATAATTAACCCAACAATAAAACATTGCAATTAAAAATTAAACTTACATAGCTCCTGTATGAACTCATACCACAAAATATTATTTTAGCACAAAAACAATCACTTCCGGTTGAATACTCAGTGTTTCGTGAACAATCACTAGAATTTTTTGTCGCGTTGATTTATTTCGTGGATCGATGCGGTAATTGACATTTTATGCAATTGTTGGAGGGTAATTGGTGAAATTAAGGGATCGAGTGTTGGGGGTACGTTTCGGCGTCGAAGTCCGGAGTTATCTGCAAGTCTTGAGTCTTTCGGCTCGAGTCTCTGTCTCACTTTGTGAATTTTCCTCCTCCTCTTGGTTCTACTTCCATAGACTCATACTACACATTATTTCACTTTCGGTTTAAGACTTTTATCTCCCTCTAATGCTGCGTCGAGCCCTATTTTAAGAATAGCTTCAGTCCCTGTTCTCCCCTGGTAGCAATAGCTTTCCTCTTTCTACTCATCAGCTTCGTTAACTTTTGTTGTTTACCACGAAAAAATATCATTATTCCATCTTCCAATTTGTTCACTTATTATTTTTTTAAATAAATCAATAGAATTTGTCGATTGACTGGAAATTATTTTCATGCACTAATTTTTTATCAATTTATATTTTATTACATTTAATTACATTTTGTCATGTAATTGTTTAGTTCTACACATTTTTATTAAATTATTTATTGACATCAATTGGGTATTGGGTATCCAATTGGGTATCCATATTTCCTGCATTTCTGGAAAAACGAACAGAAAAATCATTTTGAAAAATTTATAACAATAAGAAAAACACCAATTATTCCCAGATTTATTCTCAATAAATTAAATTACGATCGAATTAATGGATTATTTAATTATTTATTTATCTCATCAATTTTTGTACATCTCTCCTAATTATTCATTAAATTTTTTAATTATTGGTGTAATGTTATCGATCGAGCGTCAGAGGAAAATATTTATGTGGATGATAATTCAAGACTAAATCACTAGTGTCGCGAGTGTTTGCTCAGTCGAAGGTAATACAGATTTCTATTGAAAGCTCTGAATCGACTGGGAAGTAGTATTTTCCCTGAGTCGTCAGACATGCCCCAGAAGTCT